TTTATCGTCACCTGCCCCGTTAAATCCCTGCAAGTAACGTTATGCCAGTTGTAGCCAGCTTCCCTAATCCGGGGAGGCGAAGAACAAGTGAGGATTTCACCCAAGCTCGCAGTGCTCATTCCAGGAGAACATAATTCTTCCAAGCTACGCTCCATTTCCCCTCGCCTTTACYGTGCAGTATTTCTACTCCCAGAGAAGATAGGGATGAAGTTATCAATATGTGTCAYCTAGCCTAAACAGAGGGGGCCTGACGTTTCCAATTTCTCGTAAGGACAATTTCTTACGGTGCCCCTTTYGGGCTACAAGGGTCTCACGGTGACTCTTTTGGGGTATCTTGGACCAGCAAAGCCATCGAGGTGACGAACACAGCTCGGATCAGCACACACAGACACACACGGGGGTTCTCCAGCAGATGCTCTGCAGCTTCTTCCTACTTAGATGCCCAGCCTCAGGATCCCCTGAGCTGAGGGCACCATTTCAGAAGCGCAACCTAAAGTCAGGCTGTGCCCCTGGGAGCCCAAATGCTACAGACAGGACCACCGTGTTCCTGTTCTTTCCATTGCCCTTCCTTTCCATTCTACTTCACAGATACAACCAAGGCAACGTCGTCTCTTCATCCACGGGTCAGTRCCCCTGGACACAGTGCTGCTGAATCACATCTGGACGAGTCCAGGCTCCATCATTCACTGCCATTGTTTGAGTGCAATGGAGAACTTCTTTCCAATAACATCCCACTCCCTTCTTCCCTGCGGAGATTCTTCCCAGTCCTCAAGGAGCTGCTACGCAACTTCATTAAAAGACTTATTTCAGCATTTCCTTTATAACRGAGGCCTCTTCCAGCCAGCTCTTGGGACCCTGCCAAGAGACATATCAACCACCAGTACTTAAATCCTTCTGCTAAAAAAATGCTTCCCTGAAGAGCTTCTACCCCAGCTCTGGATGCCTAGGAGGGCTGATCATCAAAATTAACCAGCTTCAAAAGGGCTTAAGAGAGGTTGCTCTGGCTGTTCTCATGGGCTTAACCATAGACTAAGAAGCCTTTTCTCCAGCATTCATTTAGAAGGGAAGAAGTTCAGTTTAGTTCAAAAAAGGAAGAGAGAATCAACTGTCCTGGATGATGCATTYGCGGGATCCCAAAGAATATGGCATTTCTCGGGCATGAGGAAACACAACCAGCATCTCCCGTGCTTAGCAGTCCAGCTCTGAGACATCAAGACCTGGCTTGAGACCTTCCTAAGCTTGGAAGCTTCCTAAGTTTGAGACCTTCCTAAGCATGTCCCCAGAGTACCCAAGGAAACACAGGTTTAACTCAACCCATCTAARTCAGTTATTGAGGAGGATACACAGAGTAACTCCATGGCAAAGCTTCTGATGAAATCGGATCACCTCCGAGAAGGCGAGCCTTGCGGCTCCTCACTCATCATCTCRTCAGTATGAAAATCAGCAACAGATAAAGACGCCGGGCATGGGAAGAAGACAGGCATGCTGCAAGCACTTGACGAAGAATCTAAATGCCCTTCTTGTTTTTGGAGAACAGAAGGTATCACGTGGGTGTCTCTCCAGACAGAACGTCCCCGCAGACCTCCCCAGGCAGCGAGCTGCAGGCACCACCAAAGCACCACCCGTTGGGACACTGGGCACCCACCCGCGGTCCCCGAGGAGGACGGTGCTCGGCGAGCGGGGCTGCAGAAAGGGCTCAGTCGGGCGCTGCCTGTCAGGGCAGAGAACACGCCGTGGGCCTGCCCGGCCTTCGGCGCGAAGCCTTCCAAGCCGCAGGCAGACAGAGCTCCCAGCTGAGCTATAAATCCCCAGCCTGCTTTCTCACATGCCGGGTCACTCCAATGCCCTTTGTTTTCAGTACATTCTCCTTAGTTTCTCAGAGGGACACTCYATTATCCTGGGAAATCTTGTGGCTTTCCTCTCATTTCCATCCTTAAGAGTTTTCATCTTTTTATTCCCAAGTCTACCCAAGGTGGTAAATATCCATCTCACATGCTCACACAACACTGCCCGGACTACTAGAAAGGCACAAGCACGAGGCCAACGCAGGGACACCACCGCAGCGACAGCAATCCAGAACACACCGTCAGGTCAAGCAGACGCRTTGTTCCCTTCGGCAGGGACTCGCTTCCCAGCGGACCAGGAGCCAGCACGGCTTTGGATGAACATTGCTGCTGCCGCGCAGAGCAGCGTTTCGGAGCCCGGCAGCGGCGGCACTGCTGGGATTCCAGGGAAACCCCGCTGCTCCTCTCCCGCCTGGCCAAGCAACACAGGGAGGATTCTCCTCACAGCAACAGCTTTGCTTCAATGGCTGGAGCAAACGTGGCAGGAGACACCTCCGCATCCCAAGCAGCTTTCCATGAAGCCGGCTGCCCTGCCCAACGATCCAGCGGCGTCTCCCGCCCGGCACTGAGGCTAGGCTCCTCGGAGACTCCCCGAGCCAGGAGAAACTCTGCACGCCCCACRGGTGCCTTGAGCGGCTCATCCCCAAGGGCCACAGCTCTAAACCCTTTCCCGCTCCCTGCCCAGCTGCTCTTCCCCTTGCTCCCGGCTCAGAGGCAAACCCGTGATGCCCCACAGCCCCCGGGATCGGGGCAGGAAGGCAAACTGCTCTTTCTCTCCGTGGGACAGGTGACTATTCCTGCTGATCCCACGGGAGCCAAGCCCAGATGCCGCCAGCTCCGCTGCAGCCCGCGCCCAGATGTTCCCTGCTGCTGCGGGCGACACAGCCTGTRCGGGGAGGGAAGCGGGAAGCGCGGAGCTGAAGCCGCCAGGGGATCCGGGCTCTGCCGAAGCCAACAGGGTCCCAGCAGCACCTGGGTGTCCCCCGGGGGACAGAGACGGGATGGGGGCCCCCTGCCCTCCTGGGGGGTGTAGGATGGTCGGGCCTCTGGAATTCCGGCCCTCCCGCCAAACGTGACTTCAGCGAGCGAAAAAGTTAAAAAAAAGAAGGCTAGTTCTGAGCAGAAAAGGCAAGAAGAAACAAAAGGAGGGGGCGGTTTCCGAGCAGAGGGCTCGGGCGGGCCGGGTCCCGGCGCTCCGGCGGCGCCCGCCGCCCTCGCCCGCCCTTCCCTCGGCGCCGCGGGCCGCGCTCCCTACCTTGCCCGGCGGCGGC